GTGCTGAGGATCGAACCCGGGCCGCGCGCATGCCAGGTGAGCGCGCTACCGCTTGAGCCACATCCCCAGCCCCAGAATTCCATTCTTTTGAATGTAGATTCTAGTTGTTCTAGTAATCAGTTGAAAAAATTATTCTTTCTCCATTGAATTGTCTGCAACCCTATAAAAAAAATCATTTGACCATAAATATATGGGTTTATTTCTGAACTGTCAGTTCTGTTCCATTGGTCAAAATGACTGTTTTTATGCCAGTGCCAATTTTGAGATCAGAAAGTATTAGTTCTTCAATTTTTTTGCTGTTTTGCAAGATTGTTTTAATGTTTCTGGCTAAGCCCACATTTTCTCACACCTGCTTGGTACTGGGGATTGAACCCAGGAACACTCTACCACTGAGCTACATCCCCAGCCACAAATATATATATATATATATAATCTTGCTAGATGGCTCATACTGACCTTGAACTTTCACTCCTCCTGCTTCAGTCTCCTGGAGAGTAGCTATGATTACAGGCTTGTGTCACCATGCTCAGCTGTTAGCAGATAGCCTGATAGTGACTGAATTTCTAGATCAATTCAGTGGTATTGTTTTCTTAGCAATGACGGGTTTCACAGTCCATGAAAAATCATGTCTTTTGTTTATTCAGGTCTTTCAACGTTTGTGGTTTTTAGTGTACAGGTCTTTTCCACTTTTATTCAATATATCCTTAAACTGGCTTGCTTCACAGGTATTGGTTAATTTTACAGCCATTGCCAGGGCTTTTCTATAATAAAGGAGATGAAGGCTATGGAAGAAGAGCTTGCAAGTTCAGCAGACCGCCAACTCCCTGGTAAGTCTTTTACTAGCTGTGTGGTCTTGAACTTTTTTTTTTTTTTTTTAATTTGTCAAATGGGACTCTTAGGAACCTAAGTAGATGAAAGCACCTGGAATACTGTGAAGTGATGATTAGAAGCTGCCCAGTTGAAGAATTGGGCCCGTTTGATCTCGTCATAATTTTTCACTGTGAACCAAGGGTGGGAAAAATTACATAATCACTGAAATTACCTTGCACTCTGTGACTCTGGACTAATCTATGTCTTCCCCCCTCCTTAGCACTACTTCTGGTCTGGGGCAGCTATTTTTCTTCATCTCCACTTAAGCATTTCACCCTTACTTCCTCCATGCAACATGTGTGCAAGTTTAGTACTTTTGTTTTTGTGGTGCTGGGGATTGAACCCAGGGCCTTAGGCATGTAAGGCAAGCACTCTACCCACTGAGCTATATATCCCCARCCATTTTTTAGTCAGAGGCACAGCTATGAAAACTAGGAAATTACTGCTTGGGAATGTAATGGAATTCATGGATCTCCCATTTGGGGCTTCAGGCTAATCCTGGGTGCCTGGTCCTAGGGGATTAAGTGGCACTCACCACAGTGGGGTTTCCACCAGTGGGTCTGGAGATGCTCCCCAGGAGGATCTGGTTCTGGGCCAAGTTCCTTCTCACTTCTACTTCCCAATTTATCTCCCCTCTAAGATCTAGCTTCCATACTATCCTTCCCAGGCACTTTCCCAATTCCTATTAAAACTTTCTCCCCCAACCCCTCTTGCATTCCTTGTCACTTAGCACTAGATTTTTGCTGTTCTTTACCTTAGTAAACCCTCCTTCTCTAGACCTTGGCTAGCTCCAAGGCAGGACTGTATCCTCACCAAGTGCTGGACGGCCTGGCACAGATCTAGGTGCCCCCTACTTATCTGCTGGTTTGGTGACCTGAGGCAGGTAGGTGCTTGATACCTTTCTCAGAGTTAGCTCTGATGAATAGTGTACAAGTTCCCATAAATGCTTATCTGTTTTGAGACCATAAAACGCAAGAGTTGAGGTATATATATACCTGCCATATATCATGGTTAGTCCAAAACTTTACCAAGACCAGACCAGACCTGCCAATTGATGTCAAAGCAGCTCAGTAATAGTGTTCTAATTAAAAACACCTGGTCATAGTCAATATCTAGCAAACTGCTGGGCTTACACTGTAATCTCAGCTGTCCAGAATTTTCTTTCTTTCCACACATTTTCCTTCAACTTGGTTCCTCTAACCCAATTCTTGTTGGGCAATTGGCAGTGGTAGCAAAACTTCTAGTGGTTTTCCTTTTGACTTAGGCAGGTGTGATCCCGTGGATCCTCATTTTCATCCCCGGTAAGAGGGTAATTAGAAGACACCGAGGTCATCCTTACTTACTTAGATGATGATGATCCTGTCAGCTCAACTTTTGACATCTTACTGGTATTTGGAATGTTGTATTTTTTTCTCTCTGAACTTTGGACAAATTCTCCAACATCTATATAGGAATTCATTATATCTGTTAAGGCAGCTGTAAACTAAGGTCTTCCTTTTCCCCTCTTAATCCTAAGCAATCAGGCACTTAAGACAAAGATGTGCCCCCAAGAAGTGAAACAAAGCTCAGGTGTCTGTCTCACACAGTTTATTTAACAATAGGTAATAAGAAATCAAATTTAACAGTCTATACAGTGATCCAAAGTTCATATTTATAAGTAATCAACTTTAATTGCATGATTTACAACAGTTGAGGGTTTTTGCTTTCTATTTTCAAGTTTTACAGAAAGTGTGTGTGTGTGGGGGGCAGGGTAAGGAGGAAGAAAGCAAGCAAAGAAGAAACCCCAGGGACATTTTGCATGTTAAAATCATCCCACTGGAATCGTTTCTTACCCTCTTTTTAAATTTTTCCTTTGTTAGATGTAAAAATAACAAAAAAAAATTCTTTCAAGAAACAGAAACCACAATATATAATACATCGATTTGGCAGCTGCCCCTGTATATTTYGAAAAAGTCATTTTTTCCTCTCTACATGTACAAATTATTTTAATACTTGAAGTTTTACGCTCAGACTTACAGAATAGAAAATTTTCTGGAGCACAAAAGTTGACTTAAAGGGAGGAAAGGGGGAATTTTTTTTTAAACATTTTTAAAAGAATGAACATCTTTGCACCCAGAGAAAGAAAAATCGGTATTTTAATATATATTTATATATATTTATATATATATAGAATGTAATTTTAAAGTAACATTAACCCCTTTTGTCCTCTGGTTTTAGAAATGTTCTTTTTTTTTTTTTTAACTCTTCCATAAAGTGAGGAAAATAGGGAAAAATGTCAACCATCTGCACCAGTAAATAATAACTATTAATATTACATATTTTCATTAATTTAAAAAAAATAATAAAACCTATTGGAGGTGCAAGGCAGGAGCATATGGTTGGCTTCAGACCTCAGCCTCCTCCCAGTGCACACTTAAACCACACACACAAGGGGGGAAAAAAAGACTGGGTGTAACCAGCCATAACAAAAATATATTCTTTGTATTCTATCATCCCTCAGGTTCATCTTGCATGTTTGCTTAAACCACAAACGGCTACTGCACAGTTCTTATGTGTTCCAAAGAAAATTGTCTTTTAGGCTAAGAAAGATTCAAAAAAATTGTTTTCAGTACAAAAAGTCTTAAGAGAAAATAATTTTTTTGCTCCCAAAATACTACAAGGTGTCTCTAGTGTATGTCTAGTGTACTCTGTGAGAGGTTCGAATTCAAGTCTGAGTTATCGGTGCTGAGTCCCAGGTCCGTGGCGCTTGCACCATGGAGGTTTGCCATGCCTGGATTGCTAGCGAGCTGAGAAAGCATTGAATTCTGGTCCGGGCTGGCAAAATGCCCTTGTTCCATGGGATTGGTGGCCTGGGCAGCAACCAGTCCAGGATGTGGGGAACTGGTCTGTGGGGAAACGTGGTGTGGAGAAGGCTGAGGCTGCATCCTCGGGGATGGGCTGGAGTGGGGGGGCTGGGATTGTGGCCGTGGAGAAGGGACAGGCTGGGGAGAGCGCACTTGATTGGAGAGAGAATTGGGGATCTGCTGGCCTTGTAGGTGAGGGGACTGAGCCTGATTTGGGAGTATATGCTGTTGGGGGCTCATGGGGTTGGGTTGAGCAGGGGATCCCATCTGTTGTTGAAGGAGCCTTTGTTGATAGGCCTGTAGAGTGGCTCCTGCCTCTGCTCCCAAGGCCTGGGGGAGCTGGCCCATCTGTCCCATATTCCCTTGTTGCATCTGCTGCATGTGATGTTGCATCCGCTGTTGTTGCTGCTGCTGTTGCTGCTGTGGGGGGTAGCCAACTCCTTGGGGTTGTTGGAATTGGTTATGGTTGGCCATTCCTGGGCCGATTCCAGGCCCTGCTCCCTGTTGCTGCTGCTGTTGTATCATCTGCTGTCGTCTTAAGATGTCTCGGAATTGTGAAGGCATGGTGTTGTGATTCATGTTCATTTGCTGCGCTTGGGGGCTCATCCCTCCCATGGGTGGCTGGAGTTGCTGCTGTGGCTGCTGCTGAGGCAGGCCAGCCCTCTGGACTCCTGCTTGCATGGGATTCATGTTCTGCATGGCTGGACTGGAGTGGACGCCCTGCTGACCTGGCATGGTAGGTGGTTGCAGCCCTGGCTGCCCCTGGGGCATGCCTGGCTGCCCAGGAAGAGGTTGTGGATTAGAGTTGGCATACTTGGCAGCCCGCTGCTTGATGAATGCAGCCAATAGCTGGGGGTTGGCGTGAAGGATACTAAGCACCTGTTGCTGCTGTAGGGGAGAGCTGGGAGACCTGAGAGTCCGCAAGAGGTTTTGTAAGGCTTGTTGAGACACAGTGCCTGGTTTGAGTGGGCTCACACCTACCTGGCCCAATCCTGGTTGTGGAGCCATGTTCAAGGGCTGACCATGTTGGGCCACTGACATCATGGCTGGCCTTGGCATCCCGGACTGGAGTTGCTGGGGCTGAGGCAGTCCTCCTTGGGCCCAGGGTGGCTGTTGCTGCATTCCTGTAGGTCCCATTCCTGGCTCCAGATGCCCAGTGGGACCTCTGGCCATGGGAGGTGGGTTCATTCCCATGGGGGCCATGGGGGGCATCTGGGGCATCTGGTGTTGGATTGGCCTTTGGAAAATTTGAACATGGGCCATCTGGCGCTGCGTCTCAGCTGCCCTCTGAATTTGCATTGCCATTTCTACTGCTGCAGGTGGGGGGCCTGGAAGGGGTGGTTGAGCAGTCTGAGGGGGGGTTGGAGGGGTCACCTGGCCTGCTGCCTTACCCTGGGACACAGGGCCAGCAGCCTGAGTCCTGGGTAAGTAGGGGGGCATGCTGTTGGGAGGGGTAGGCTGGGGCTGAGAGGTGGGCTGGGGCTGGGGTGTCTGTGGTGTGGTTGGCTGTTGCCCAGTTGGTGTGGTTGGAGTGGCAGGAGTTGGGGAGGGCAGGCCCTGTTGCCCCACCACACCAGTCCGCTGCATGCTGGCCATCCTCCTGCGGAGCATCTGAGCCTGCTGGAGCCGGTGCTGCAGTTGCTGTTGCCGGAGCTTTTGCTTGATGTTGAGGCAGAACGGCACAGGGCACTTGTTCTCCTGGCAGTGCTTGGCATGGTAGCAGCAGAGGGCAATGAGCTGCTTGCAAATAGGGCACCCACCATTGGTTTTCCGTTTGCAGCCCTTGGTATGCTGCACAACCCGCTTCATCTTCTGGCAAGAGGGCAGAGAGCAGTTGGCATTGCGGCACTGGCAGGCATGGACCAGAGACTGGATACAGCGCTGGATGCTCAGGCGACGAGAATCTCCTGGGCTCTGGGTGGCTGCAGCCTGCTGGTTGTTGCTCTCATCATCTAAGCCGAGACCTAATTTCTCCATTTTGTGATCATGGTTTTTAGTGTTATAGCAGGTGATACACAAGTCATAATCCTGGGGAAAAAATAAGGAGTGCAGGTCAATTCTCGGAGAATTAAATCATTCAAAAGCATTTTTAGATACTTGGCATAGGCTACAGAAGCTCCTTTTTAAACAGGGTAAAATTAGCCTCTTCAAATATGAGGCCAGGGACTGGGGTTGTAGCTCAGTGATGGAGTGCTTGCCTCAAAAGTGCGAGGCACTGGGTTTGATCCTCAGCACCACATAAAAAAAATAAATATCATGTCCATCCACAATTAAAAAACCAAGCCAAACAAAAAAGCAAACATGAGCATGAGGTTGGGCCCTTTCTCAACTATGTAACATGTGTCTGCATTACCCTTTAAGACAATAAAGACCCAGAACCCCCTCCTTCCTACAACCTGGTACTGACCTCACATACGGTGCAGTGCCAGCGTGTCTCCACGTGGTGCTTGCACTCATTGCAGGTGTAGACAAAGCGGTCCTGGCTCTGTGTGTGCAGTTCCACCAGCATGCACATGGTGGACCACTGGGCTCGTCGGAGTGAAGAGAACTCCAGATGCTTGTCCCTGGCCAGGGTAAGGAATGCATCCCGACCATCCATCAGATCACAAGGGATGAGAGGGTCAGGATCAACGATGGGAGGCAGGGAGTTGGCAGCAGGGCCGGCGATGAGGCGGATCACAAAGAAGACCTGCAAACAGATAAGCTTATTCTAACTCTAGAGTACAACTATAGCAGAAAGAAGTTGAGCAGCACCCAGCGGGCTGAGKAGATGCAGGGTTAGCTTACTACCATACTTACCTCTCCTCCTATTCACCTATCTCTGTTCTCTCTGATTAGGTATAATGTATCTATCTTTCCCACTTGATTCAATAAATCCTTCAAAAATAAGAATGGTCTAGATCAGGCCCAGTATACAGTGAACATTTTGCTTCAAGACAGTCTAAGATGGAACTAATGGTTTAACCTGAATCTAATTGCGAGCAAACAATCACAAAGCTCAAAAAGAGAAAGTCTGCTTAACTACTCATCAAGAAAATACTCATGTCTCTGAAGAAAAAGCTGGCAACAATTCAAAATGAAAGGCAACTCCACACAATTTGACTCAATATCCTGGAGTAGAACACAGGACCAGACATTAGATGGTGACACTAGGGTAAGTTTCTTGAGTGGAAAAACAAAAACAAACCCCMAATTTTTGTTCATTGAAGGTTGGAAACTTGGAACAAACATCATTTCCCATAACCATTAGAGGCGGCAACAAGCAACCGTGTTGAAATTGGTACTGGGGATGGAACTATCACTGTGAGCTACATCCTCTTCTTATTTTCTGAGATAGGGTCTTGCTGAGTTGCTGAGGCTGGTCTTGAATTTGCGATCTTCCTGCCCCAGCCTCTCATGTTACTAAGATTACAGTTGTGCACCACTGTGCCTGGCTAGAACTATGAACTTTTTTTTAAAAATTATTTTTTAGTTGTTGATAGACTTATTTATATGTGGTGCTGAGAATCGAACCCRGTGCCTTACTTACCCCAGTGCCTTACACATGCCAGGTGCTACCACTGAGTAGCAGCCCCAGCTGAAGAACTATAAACTATTATTCAACTGATTACACTAACCTGCTATGCAGCCCATGCTGGTTTTAGCCAGTTTCTAGCAGACTGAAAATCTGCAGACTGGCAGGAAGATCTGCAATGCACTGGGCCAACCAGTGCTTTTGTTACTATCTATAGTGAAGCTAATACACTGATTTATAACCTACCCCAGAGCCTCAGAATTCAGGCCCTAAGATTAAAACCCAGTCATGGAATGAATGTGTCCACAATTTAAGTTAAACTTAGCATTAACTACTGTTTGAAGAATTAAAAGAGCTAGTAACTATCAATTGTTGATAATAAATACCCAATTAGTAACTCAGGAATTCTTCATTTTGATAGGCTTGATACCATGTTTCTCTGATAACCACGTCAGTTTGCTAGGCCTCAATAAAAAAGGGGGATGGGCACAGTAGTGGACTATGGGAAAAGATGCTTGAACACCTATATAAGGTATAAATTACAGGAGAGGGTTCTGCATATTTATTTCTCTTCCAAAGAAACTGCTTAACCAATAGTTGTAATTCCATATTTAAAATCAAACTTTCTGTTCCCTCTCCACATAAYTGCCACTTTCTGTAAAAGAATAACTTGGTGTCTGTAAGAACTGAACTGTGATATTGAAACCACCACCACCACAAAACTTTATGTCTTGGTTTTTTCTTATGGGAAACTCCAGTTATATCCTCAATTACCCATAACAAATAAAGAATGTAAAAAATTAATCAGAAAAAAGGGTTATAAGTATATATGTGAATGATTGATTTTTCTCCAATTCTACTTCCTAATTTTACTTTTTTTTTTAACCCACCACTGAATCACATTCCCATCCCTTTGAGACATGGTCTCAATAAATTGTTGAGATTAGAGGCATGCCCCACCATGCCTGGTTCCAAAGCAGGAACAAACATAATTTTTTTTCCCCCCATTTCTTTCTCAAAAGCACCATTACAAACAAACTGAAATGGCTAATGGAGTTAAAAAAATTTTTTTTTGTACTGGGGATTGAACTCAGGGTTACCTGACCACCGAGCCACATCCCCAGTCCTATTTTGTATTTTATTAAGGGACAGGTCTCATGGAGTTGCTTAGTGCCTCACAGTTGCTGAGGCTGGCTTTGAACTCTTGATTCTCCTGCCTCAGTTTCCCAAGCTGCTGGGATTATAGGTGTGTGCCACTGTGCCCAGCTGGCTAATGGGAGTTCTAAGGAGTTTAGAAAAACAACATTCACCAAACACAAGTACATTCGAGGGCTATGGTTGTGGCTCAGTGGTAGAGCGCTTGCTTARCATGTGTGAGGCACTGCATTCAATCCTCAGCACCGCATAAAAAAATACAGACAATGTTATAGAGTTAGACAAACTATGCATATACTTTTGAGTTATAAATCCAACGACCGCACAAGCTAATAAACACTGTCTTATAAAACCCACTAAGACTCCCTTTTCTTCCCAATCACCATCAAATGAGTTCTCCCCCCTGAATTTTCAGTGGTTTGGTGCTTACATCATAAATGCCAATTGGGGTGGGTCTTTCACCCACCTCTTGGAGACTGCCTCTTACCTCTTTATGTTTCTCCATGGTTGCATATAGTTTCTGGGAGAGGTCATTAGATACATTGGGCATACCAGGCTTCTTTTTGTTACCCCTACTCAAGCTGCTCTTGTTTTTGCTGGTTTTCTTATTATTTTTCTTTTTAGCATTTTTGCTGTCTCCTTTTGTCACCTATATGGTGGCCAGAAAGACAAGAAAACATTAAGGTTTTATTAAGAAGTGATTTGTAAACAATTCTGAAGATAAAATGACTTTTCTCCCCTTTTAAGCTAGAGATTAAACTTATATTTCACAAGCTCTTCACTTACTCTCTCCTTTTTAAGCTGCTATTTATAGCAAACTAATATTTACTAATATATTTGCCCCAATTTTCTCCAGTGCAGACCTGATCCTTCATTAAGGTGATTGATGCATCCCTAACATTCTGCCTAGAAGAGCCTCACAGTGCACAGACCCCGATGATGGAACAAAGCCCAGATCTTGGCTAAGAAACAAGGAATGGCTGTATGGGGTAGTAAAGAGTGCATGGAGCAGGTGATCCATAAGACCTTGGTTTTGTATCCTACCAATTTTCATTCTAGAATTGTATGAGCCTATAAAACAAACCAACAAAAAAGCTCCAACCCATCCTGAAAAACCAAGTATTTTAAACTAAAAGGCTATGTAGAATTTGTATGTGTGTGTATATGGTGTTGGGGATTAAACCCAGGGCCTCATCCACACAAGGCAAGCACTCTACCACTAAGCCAACATCACATCCCCAACCCTAGGATTTCTTTATAAGTCAGAAATCTAATTAGGACTCAAAAAAAAAAAAAAAAAAAAAAAAAAAAAAAAAAAAAAAAAAAAAAAAAAAA